TGCTTGAACAGCGCAGTGCAGCTCTTGCTCAAGACAAGTACATTGAAAACCATTTGAAATGGGTCATTATCATACGAGTGAAATATAAGGTACACGGTGGAAATCTCCTTCTCCACAAACACACTGTAAAGTTTCAGGAGTGACATCATTATTATTTTCTCACTCTAATGCTAAAACTCTGTACGACAATTATAAATTAATCAAATTTAGCTTGTATCTCCATATTTCGTATGATAATTTTTTTTTGTTATCAATCAATTTATCAATTTATAAATGAAATGTGCATTTAAATAGAAAAGAAAATCCTAATTTTACAGAAAAACTATTTCTACTTTGCCATATAGCAGCGTCTCCCCAAATACAAACACACACAAAAAATATTTTTTTGGTTACATTTTATTTTAAGGTGTTATTGTTACAGTGTAATTATAGATTAAAGTACTGAGTAATATTAATTAACTACATGTACTTGCTATAGGGTTAGGGTTTGGTTGAGGGTTAGTTGCATGTAATAATGCATAACTTATTTGAAAAATATTTCATGGTTAGAACTAGTGCTGTCAGACGATTAAAATAATGATTTGCGATTAATCGCATTAATGCAATAGTAAACTCGCGATTAATCGCATTAATGTCATAGTTAACTCATGATTAATCACATTAATGCCATAGTTAACTCGCGATTAATCGCATAAATGTCAGTTAACTCATGATTAATCACATTAATGTCATAGTTAACTCGCGATTAATCGCATTAATGTCAGTTAACTCATGATTAATCACATTAATGTCATAGTTAACTCGCGATTAATCGCATTAATGTCAGTTAACTCATGATTAATCACATTAATGTCATAGTTAACTCGCGATTAATCGCATTAATGTCAGTTAACTCATGATTAATCACATTAATGTCATAGTTAACTCGCGATTAATCGCATTAATGTCATAGTTAACTCATGATTAATCACATTAATGCCATAGTTAACTCGCGATTAATCGCATTAATGTCAGTTAACTCATGATTAATCACATTAATGTCATAGTTAACTCGCGATTAATCACATTAATGTCAGTTAACTCGCGATTAATCACATTAATGTCATAGTTAACTCTCGATTAATCGCATTAATGTCATAGTTAACTCGCGATTAATCGCATTAATGCCATAGTTAACTCGCGATTAATCGCATTAATGCCATAGTTAACTCGCGATTAATCACATTAATGCCATAGTTAACTCGCGATTAATCACATTAATGTCATAGTTAACTCGCGATTAATCGCATTAATGCCATAGTTAACTCGCGATTAATCGCATTAATGCCATAGTTAACTCGCGATTAATCGCATTAATGCCATAGTTAACTCGCGATTAATCGCATTAATGCCATAGTTAACTCGCGATTAATCGCATTAATGTCATAGTTAACTCGCGATTAATCGCATTAATGTCATAGGTAACTCGCGATTAATCGCATTAATGTCATTGTTAACTCGTGATTAATCGCAATTAATCGCACATTTTTATCTATTCTAAATGTCTCTTGATTTCTTTTAGTCCCATTATTTTTTCTCATTTTAATGCTCTTATCAACATGGAAAAGTGGATCGGCTCACTTTGTGCAAATGTTTTTTAATTGAAAACAACATTAGCATATACTGTGTTCAATTTCACACTAACATTCTCACTTGGCGCAAATAATCTCTCAATGTAACACTGTCCATCAATAAACGGGTGAAAGAAATACTGACGAGGTCCTGATATTGACGAGGGGGCGGAGAATTCACATCATCTCTGTGTGTGTGTGTGTGTGTGTGTGTGCTTGGCCATCATCAAGTGGTGTTTCAGGCTGGACATGCTGCGATGATGATAGCTCGGTTCACAACGACAACACACACACACAGATCACATTGGTCTCGTCAATGGAACCATTTGGCAACTTTTTAAAAGTAAAATTTCCATTCAGAATTTTATTGGCATCCATTTCGGCGACTCGCGCTCGTCATCCACTCAAAACGTAACGTCAACCAACTATTTGGCCGGCTCGCAAGCCCAAACGGGTGTGTGCGGCGACGGCGTGTCTGTTGTTTGATCCGCTTGAAGCCATTGAAATGAATGGGTTTCAGAGCGCAGCGCCACGCATGCAAAACCACAAAGTTTCCTAGGCCAAAAAGACCGTTAATCGCGCGATAAAAAATTGCCGCTGTTAAAATGGGTTTGGCATTAACGCCATTAATAACGCGTTTAACTGACAACCCTAGTTAGAATATAACGCATACCATAGGATGTTGCTGTTTCTTTGTAAGTCTTAGTCAAAATTCAGATTTTTTTCAGTGTCATTCCCTGTTATGTGGAAGTTGACTGTTTATTTCTCCGCTCACTGTATGTGAAAGCTGGTAATAAAATAACCGCAATAAGAACCAAGTAGAGTCCGGTTGAATGTTTCTCTTGTGGCCCTCACAGAGCCCAGGGGCCCAATAAGCATCCATCTGCAGACAGCCCACTACAACACGCTTCACTGGACATCCATGCAAGCCAGGGTGTTTGTAAGTGTGTGTGTGTTTGTGCACTCTAGTATGTCTGACGTTTTCTCATTCTCGAGCCGTGGGGAGCAACTTTCCCCCACACAAACACACAAAAACAATCTTCACAATCAGTGCTGTCACCACATCCAGCCGTCCCTGTGTTCTTCTGTTTGTGTGCCACCTTTATATTCTCCTGTCCGACTCCGAGACCCATCCATCGTCCTCCACGCGGACACACATCGATCCAGATCTCTCTTAATCAGCTCTCTGGAGCTTCTCTCTTCTTCCCGCTTGACTGCTTCTGTTCATTCAACATCTATTTCACCTCCGTATCTTCTGGGTTCCCCATCAGCCTGTGCTGGAGGTTCAGAGTCTCTGTCAGTCTCTCTCTCTGGAGTCGTGATGTGAGGCGCTCCGAGGAATCCTGGTGATTTATTACAGGGAAACTGCAGTGCCGTCAGTTCATCTATGGGAACAGAAGGACGCTGCCCAGTGAGGCGCAGAAACCGGTTCAATAAGGGCTAAATTGTTCTGCGCACTAAAGTAAACACAAATGCGCTCAAAATCAAAGATCGAAATTTATGAATATTAACAATATGCACAATTATTTAAAAAAACACTGTAAAAAAAAAAAAAAGCAGTGTGCTTATCACTTAAAAAAAATTCCGGTAAAAAAATGGCAGCTGCGGTTGCCAGATATTTACCGTAAAAAAACGGTAGCAGACTTAACTTAAATTAAAACATATTTCATTATCTGATATCCGACATATTAAAGTACTAATTTCTTTTTTCTACCATTGTAATATACTGGTAACAACCAATCACAGTGGTTAATAGAGTCACATGATGAATTAAAGCTCATCCACAAGAAAGTTAATACTATTATAGATACACAGTGTCCTTCACACACACACTAAGTCACCATGGTAACACACGACATTTTAAAATTGCAATAATGTAACATAAAACCCTAATGTACCACTGGAAAAACTATGATCAAACAGTTATTTCAACAAAAATACATAAAATGTGAAGTGTCACCCAGGGAATTGTGGGAATGGCAATTAACAGTTATAATTGTATATTTTATGTGCGCCTAAAATCTTAAAAGCACATTTTACAAAGCTGCACTTGCAGATAATATAGTATAATTATTATTATACAATATGAAATTATTATACAAATGTGTTGTTTTTTACTGTAAAGCACTTTGTGACCCTTCATGTCTGTGAAAAGTGCTATATAAATAAAGTTTACTTACTTACTTACTATAAAAGAAATAAAAGGCCACTTAAAGAAAGTACTTTACTTTTTAAAAGTAATTAAAGTACATTTTGAATCATTAATGTTTTGTGCTTTATTGACGTGGTGACTATGTGGAGCACTTGATTTTAATTTTAACTGTGGTGTGTTACTTAAAATAACATTTAAATTTAAAAGTAAAAATATTACTAAAATTGTAACTTCATCATTACAAATGTGCAATTAAAACACTGAAATACATGACATACAAGTTTGAATAGAGATTACAGTAAAGTATATTTTAGATATCGGCAGTGCACTTTAAACAAATTTCAAAGACAATAGACGTAATTATGAAATTGCATATAAGCTACTTAAGTTAGTCAAAAAGCACTCTTAAGTTCAACTTATTGCATTTAATATAAATTATAATGAATTATCATACAAATAACAAGTGTCTGAAAACATTATGCACATACTTAATTATAGATATTATATTATTTCTGGGAATGTCCTCTGAATTTCGAAGGTTTCATGCCACTTTTATAGTGTTGATTTATGTTTTTGAGGATCTCACCGAACCCTTTTGTATGAGAATCTGTCGATCTGACACCGAAGTGACCGATATGAATATGAAATTACAGTAGGAAAGCCATTAATCAGTAATATTCCCTGAAAAATGTGTCTCTTTGATGCTTTAAGGGGGTCATGACATTTTTATTATTTTAATATGCTCCTTGAGGCTCACTAAAGTTAATTTTTTTTTGGCACTAATAAATAAATACATATATATGTGGAAAAATGATTATTTTTAACCTTCAGGCACTTTTAAGAGATTATAAATGCTTTGTTTGCAATGAGGAGGACGCTGTGAAACTTGCAGGATGTTTTAATGGGACTAAAAAGATAAAGGAATGAATGTGTTTTTTGTGACCCCTTTGAAAGCTTTGCATGTGTGTACTAAATTCACTCCTGAAAGACTGACCTGAGACTCGCAGGACGAGACCGTAAGAGACTCAAGAAACCAGGACACTTGTTCTCTCACAAACCAATACAATGGCTTATCTGTAGATTGACTATCAGTGAAAGCGAGGGAGAAGAGAAGCGAGGAAACATCTGTGCCGTAATCACACACTCCACAAGACCACACCGCCTTCAGACCTGAACACACACCTGTGTACACACAGCTGCACGCACACACACTTGATATCACATGAAAAGAACATCACTGATCCAAATAAATTAGTTTATTTCAGAATTTCAGTACAAAAATATTTGATTTTTTTCATTTTAAATCGACAGATAATAGTCGAGTCAGTTCATTACCACTGTCTTACCTTAAAACAGACATTTTTTAATTCCATTCTCTTACCTGCTAAATAAAGCTAATTAAAAACAATACAGTGCTTTGCATCATGGGTAATAATCAAATGACTCTTGCCGGCCAGTAAGGAGATTTCACATTCAAGATCTGATCCAGAAACAGTTTCCCAGTGTGTGGTCGAGACTCGCATCTCTCCGAAGACTGATCTCGGATCAGACACGAGGCGGGAAGAACCGGGATAGAAGCTCCTTCTTATTCACCTTTCCCATCGGGTTCCTGGGCATGTTTTCCACCAGGATCAGTCCTGTGGGAATGGTGTATGAAGCCATGTGCTCTCTGAGAGGAGGATCAGAAGAGAAGACACACTTATAGAAGAATGAAGACACACTTTTAGATCCAAATCATGTATTTCTACAGTCCGGTCACAGTTGTTATTTGATATAAATAAAACATACATTATATAAGTTATTTAGTCAAGTGAATTTTCTCTTTGTCTTTTCCCACATAGCACAAGCCTATTTGATGTGATTTTTACATCTGGAAGACGTATTTTTAAGATCATCTGCAATACGTCTATAGGATGTTTCCTGTCAGATGTCAAATAGACGTTTAGAAGATGTCTTTAAGATGTAATGATTTATGATTTAAAATGGACGTTAAACTGACATCTTCTAAACGTCTATTTGGCATCTGACAGGAAACGTCCTATAGACGTATTTCAGATGAGCAACACTCTTAAAAATACGTCTTCCAGATCCCAGATAGCACAAGGTTATTTGATGTCCTATTTACATCTGGAAGACGTATTTTTAAAATTGTTTGCTCATACGTCTATAGGACGTTTCCTGTCAGATGTCAAATAGACGTTTAGAAGATGTCAGTTTAACGTCCATTCTAAATCATTACATCTTAAAAAGACATCTTCTAAACGTCTATTTGACATCTGACTGGAAACATCCTATAGACGTATTGCAAATGAGCAAACACTTTAAAAAATAAGTCCTCCAGATGTAAACACACACATCAAATAGACTTGTGCTATCCGGGATAGACGTACTGCATATGAGCAAACACTCTTAAAATACGTCTTCCAGATGAAAAATCATATCAAATAGACTTGTGCTATCTGGGTTGTAGTTTGATTAGTGTTTGCTCATCTGCAATACGTCTATAGGATGTTTCCAGTCAGATTTCAAATAGACGTTCAGAAGATGTCTTTAAGATGTAATGAATTAGAAAAGCATGTTAAACTGACATCTTAAAGATGTCTATCAGATGCTTTTCAGATGAAGTGATCTTTAACAGACATCTTGCAGACGTACGTGTGCTATCCCAGATGTCAAATTTGATGTGATGTTTACATCTGGAAGACGTATTTTTAACGTGTTTGCTCATCTGAAATACGTCTATAGGATGTTTCCAGTCAGATGTCAAATACGTAGATGTTTAGAAGATGTCAGTTTAACGTCCATTCTAAATCATTACATCTTAAAGACATCTTCTAAACGTCTATTTGACATCTGACAGGAAACGTCCTATAGACGTATTGCAGATGAGCAAACACTCTTAAAAATACGTCTTCCAGATGTAAACACATAGACATCTCTGTGATGTAAGTGTGCTAACAGGGAGTCTAACTTGTCTTTCTCTTTTCTTTTATTATTTGTCTCAAACAATCAACATAGATACACAACAACAAAACAATAATTAAAACCACAAAGTAAAACACAACCACCAACAAATAAATATGTATATATAAATAGTAGTAATAATAATAATACCAAAACAATAAAAAAAAGAATAAAAAAAAAAAAATTTGCATTAAAAGTCTAACTTGCATTAGACTCGCAAATTTTAGACTTAGACCGGTCTAAACTAGCTTTGTGAAACCGGTCCCTGTGCGCAATCAAACATTAGAGTCACTGATAATGGCGCCAGAAGAAGCGGTCAGAGATCAAAATATTGATTTTACGCTGATAGATATGAGAATACGAGCAGATGCTGAATCTACTGGGAAATCTCTCTGATAAGGACAGTGATGAGAAAAGCATCTGAAGTTCTGAAAGCTAGCGAAATATGCTTTATTTTATTCTTTAGTAACTGTTATTAAAATATCAGGAGAGTTTTATACTACACAGATCCATCCGTGATAGATATAGACTTGGGTCGATAAAGACCCGATTATGTAATAACGACTTTTCCCCACGAAGAAAAAAAACGTAGATTTTTAGCTTAAAGGGTTAGTTCACCCAAAAATGAAAATTCTGTCAGTATTTACTCACCCTCATGTTGTTTCAACCCCGTAAGACCTTCGTTCATCTTCGGAACACAAATAAAGATATTTAAGATATTAAGATCGCTCCTGCATACAGTCCATAGGCTTCTTGAGGGAATGACTCTTGCTGTCCTCGAAAAGTCATTAAAGACATCGTTAAAATAGTCCAAGTGACTACAGGGGCTCAATCTTAACTTTATCAAACGACGAGAACACTTTTGTGCGCAAAAAAACAACAAAAATAACGACTTTATTTCAACTATTCACTTCCTTCTCCATGAGCCTGTAGTCAGTTAACGTAGTGTGATTGCGTAGAGCTACGTCACACGTAGGCTCACTATTGGCCGGCGCTGGTCATGTGTGTGTGATGCGTGTGACGTACAATAACAGAAGCTTACGCTATTAAACTAGTAACCTGACTCGCGCAGAGGGAGAAATAAACCAATAGTTGAAATAAAGTCGTTATTTTTGTTGTTTTTTTGCGCACAAAAGTGTTCTCGTCGTTTGATAAAGTTAAGATTGAGCCCCTGTAGTCACTTGGACTATTTTAACGATGTCTTTAATGACTTTTCGAGGACAGCAAGAGTCATTCCCTCAAGAAGCCTATGGACTGTATGCAGGAGCGATCTTAATATCTTAAATATCTTAATTTGTGTTGCGAAGATGAACGAAGGTCTTACGGGGTTGAACAACATGAGGGTGAGGAAATAATGACAGAATTTTCATTTTTGGGTGAACTAACCCTTTAAGAAAATTCAACTCTGGCAGTGCAAGGAAATAAAGATGTGTCATAATTTAATCCTGGTTGTTTTGTGTGGAACATGTGGTGAAAATATCTTCAGGCAAAGACTCTAATGACACTGCAGATGTGAAACGTCACAAGTGAAATACATAAAATGACACACAAACACAAATAAAAAAAACGCAGGCATGTCCTCTTTGCAGGAACCGCTCTTGTATTAAACGCTGCGAGACACATGAATTCGATTAATTCCACAAACAATGAAATCAGCGTGAAATAAAGACAAGCACTAAAAGGCAGAGTGGAGCGCTGAGCTAATTAAATGTTGGTTGTCAACAGGCCCGAAGCCGTCTTTATCATCTTACGTTTGTGTGAGTGTGTGTGAGAATATTCAGTTTTCTTCAATACATCCCCTTCCAGCAAGGTGTCTCTGCGTTAATGTTTCTTCGCTGTACCCTCGTTGTGTTTGTGTCAGCTCATCATGTCCTGTCTCTCTACGCCTTCTGACACATCTAGAGTGACGATTACACCAGATGACAGCTGGAGGAGTGAGCATCTCTTCCTGCGCATGTTGCTCTTTGCTGGGCTTTGCTGGAGGGCCGAAGACAGGTCAAAAAACACACCAGCAACGCCCACACACACCATATGGAGCTCACACACACACAGAGACGGAAAAAGCCCTGAGCTACTTCATGTAAAGGGACATGTGTCATCTGACAGGAAAAAATGCAACAATTCTGCAACAAAAGTGAAATCCCTCTGGTGCCATATTTGACATATTTTTAATTTTTTTTACTTCATCGGAGTGGTACGAAACTTGGTAAAGAAAAAAAAAGAAAAAAAAATCATGGTCATGCTTCGAACAAGTTAAAGGGATACTACACTTTTTTGTAAATGAAGAGTTCAGATGCAAAAGCCTCTAAATGCCATTTGAAATTTTCATCTTTAATGATGATTTTTGTCAAACTTGTATATTTAAGTTCAGTAATTTCACTTAAATAACAATTAATAGGTAATTATCATTGCCATTTAAGTGAAATCACTGAACTTAAATATACAAGCTTGACAAAAATCATCATTAAAGAAGAAAATTTCGAATGGCACTTAGAGGCTTTTGCATCTGAACTCTTCAAATAGGCTCATTTTACCACTCCCTCAGAGTTAAACAGTTGGGTTTTACCGTTTTCGAATCCATTCAGCCAATTTTCTGATATTTAGAAGAATATAAGACCAGTTTCTGGTCTCATTGACTTCCATAGTAGGAAAAAAAATATAATGGAAGTCAATGAGACCAGAAACTGTCTGGTTACTGATATTCTTCTAAATATCATAAAATCAGCTGAATGGGTTTGAAAACGGTAAAACTCGACTGTTTAACTCTGGGGGAGTGGTAAAATGAGCCTATTTCCCAAAAAAGTGGAGTATCCCTTTAAATTTCGACGACTCTTATTGATTCCACTATGACTTTTCAAGCGCTGTTTTCTGTGCTCCACACAAACATCCAAAATGAGCACACAGAAAATGTGTTTTAATGTGATTTTAAACCATTCAAGTGTGTGACGACGCGCGCAACTATATTAGGCGACTCTTAAAGTGACAGCGCCTGCTCACTTTTTTAAAAATCCCCATACAGCGCAAAATATGAGTCCCGCAAACACGCCGCCAAGGAGCTTGTATGTAATCAGAGGACAAATGGCTCCTCTTTAGTTTCGAAATTGTTTGGGTACAAGGTGATCGCATTGAAAATAAAGGCGTTAGTCTAGAAGCTAACTTTTGAAACATTGCCGAGGCTCATTTAAGAAAATGATAGATCCGAAGAGACGCAGAAACATGACTTAAGGAGATGTGTAACCAGACCCATTGACTTCCATAGTAGGAACAAAAATACAATGGAAGTCAATGAGACCAGAAACTGTCTGGTTACTGATATTCTTCTAAATATCATAAAATCGGCTGAATGGATTCGAAAACGGTAAAACGCGACTGTTTAACTCTGGGGGAGTGGTAAAATGAGCCTATTTCCAAAAAAAGTGGAGCATCCCTTTAAATGCTCCTGTAAATTTAAAAGATTGACTTGGTCAAACATGAGCGCATTGATAAATGAATGCGAGACGAATTTCCTCTAGTGGAAGCGTTTGGTACTGCGGCCGAACTACTGTACATCTGATCGAAAGCTAATTTTTTGAGATATCAACCTAAAACTTGTTTAAAAATGATTTAGAAAATATATATTTCATATAAAAAATTAAAATAGCATTTGTGCCTTTTTCATAACAATACATGTAACAATTCTGTCAATTTTTCAAGTTTCACTTTTGTAAAACGCAATAATCTGCCAAGTGTCATCTTTGAAAAGAGATTAAAGATCAGTCTGTGATCATTCGAGATTCACTACAGTTTAAGCTGGAAATTGTGAAATCAAAAAGTTATTAAAAAGGATTATAACTACATAACTAAAATCCCTTAAAAATACAAAATAGTAAATAAAAAACATTATCAAATTAAAATACAGTACAATATTCATTGACAATTTTTTTGTCGTCATTTTTGACCAACACACACACACACACACACACACACACACACAGAGAGAGAGAGATGAATAAAATAAACATGCATTGCTAAGACAGATGCAGTTTCTTTCTTCTCAACATCACCGGTTTTCTCTCTCCCACCAAACACACACCTGTTCTTGCAGCATGCATCTCCTCCCTGAGTGTGTGCCTACGTGTGTGTATTGTTATTTATACAAAGGCTTTTAAAAATCCTCCTGAGTCTAACGCATATCCTGAGGGAGTCCAACTCGACGTCTGACTCAACACGCCACACACACACACACTGATGCAACACATCGCTCTTTGCAACGAGGCTGCCGGTGCATTTCAGCAACATTTCATCACTTGCCCATTTTTTATTTTTTTGAGTAAGTTCAAGTGTGCCTGATTGACACTAGGAAGCTCTTGTCTTGTCGTTCACATTCTGACCTCTAGGGGAGCTGTGAGAGATTCAGTGGATGTCTAATGCATAATACTGTACATGCAAAAATTGTAAGATTTAAGAAGATGTAATAAATCAATGGTGTCTACAGAATGCGTCTGTGAAATTTCAGTTCAAAATACCCCCTAGATAATCTATTATAGCTAGTCAAATTTGCCCCTTTTTGGGTGTGAGCAAAAACACATTTTTTTTAGTGTGTCCCTTTAAATGCAAATGAGCCCCCGTTCAGAAGAATCGTGAGATCCTATGACGGCTACCATCTATTTATTACATTTAGCCTCTTGGCCAATCAGTTAGGACTATTGGGATAGTTAAGTTATTAATATTCATGAGCTAAGCTTAGGTGCTGTTGACATGACACCGCTTTCAACTAAAAAACGGAAAAGTTTTTATGCATTTTGGCCATTTCATTTACACGACAACGCCGTTTTGGGGGCCGGCAAACTTTGTTGACTTGTTTCAAAATGCAAATTTTGGAAAACGATGCAGTTATCGGCATCTCCGAATAAATTTAAAGAAAACGCAAATTTGTGAAAAAAGTGACGTTACGCGCATGCGTGTTCAGTCTATAGCCTAGTCTATATTTTCTTATCGAAGTGACGTCGCCATCTACTGGCCTGGCAGCAGAATACAGAATACAGTATATATTTATTTAAACATAATTTATATACTTAACTATGGTATATATAAATATATTATATATAAATAACAAATTTTTCTTAAATTTAAACAAGCATGTGTGTGTAGTAATATTTTGTACATATAAATACACATATGCACGTAAATATTTAAGAAATATTTGCCTGTATACAGTATATATTTATTTAGATATAATTTATATACTATATATAAACTTTAATTATATACATGCATGTGTGTATTAATATTTACAAAATAATTATGCACAGTTATTTTAGATGTGATTAATCGTTGCACAGCACTATTTTATTTATTTTTTGCACGCTTTACTACGGCGTTAATTATTAATAAAATGCATCCTATATGAGATAAATCAGATATAGATAGGCGTACACAAAAACATAATATCAAAACTTACATTTGCATAAAAACAAAAGGCTGCGAATGCACACGCAAACATATAGTAATGATACATAACATAACATAACTCGCATAATTAAGCAATTGTGTATCTGTAATGCTGACTCTGGATCAGTGAGAGTGAGTTACCTGGCCCAGGCCTTCAGCGTGGACAGACTCATGGACGTCCCGTTCCTCAGCTCCACAACTGCGGTGACCTTCTGACCCCACACGGCGTCTGGAGCACCAATCACAGCCACGTCTGAGGAAAAGATGCATATTTATCCCTCTATTCATACTGGTCTCACCGATGATCTTAAGAGGAGCAATAACATTTATTATTTTAAAAAACAGTTTAAAATCCTATTTTTTGACAAATATTTGGATGCTTAAGAGAAATTGTCCAGGATAAGTTTATGCATAATTGTTGTGCATACATTTATTAACACAAGTAATAAATAAATATTTGTAATCAAGTGCAGATTTGAATGTATATATGTATGTATATTAGTATAAACACAGTATGTGTATTTAGGAATGTGTGTAATGTGCATGTATTTTTTATGTTCATATTTTGATGGGTAGATCGTTAAATCGTAGAATAAATCGTTATATTTTATTAAAACAAATTAGGCTATTGTGCAAAAGTTCAGTAATTCAACTTAAAAAGGTGAAACTAATATATTATATAGACTCATTACATGCAAAGTGAAATATTTCAAGCCTTTATTTGTTATAATTTTGATGATAATGGCTTCAGCTTATGAAAACCCAAATTCAAAGAATATTTAGAATATTGTGAGTCATAATCATCAAAGTTATAACTAATAAAGGCTTGAAATATCTCACTTTGCATGTAATGAGTCCATATAATATATTAGTTTCAGCTTTTAAGTTGAATTACTGAACTTTTGCACGATATTCTACTTTTTCGAGTTTCACCCGTGTGTTTGCATGCATGTGTGTGTACCTGTGATATCTGGGTGGGCTAGCAGATGTCTCTCCACTTCTAGTGCACTGATCTTGTATCCTCCGCTCTTGATGATGTCCACTGAAGTGCGGCCCATGATCCAGTACATGCCGTCTCTGTAGAGCGCAGTGTCACCTGAGAGAAACCAAAGCCCTTCGAGTTACACCTGACTCTACTAGGGTTGCCAAATAGCTGGGATGTCTCGTATATTGGTCCTAATTTATTGGACCTCCCTTGTCCTGTTTATTGACTGCTGCGCTTATCTAACCACTGTCTTACATTTTAACATCGTTTGTTAGACAGAAATGGTATTAGTGTTGAAATTGTTTTCCTGTTCTGTTTATGTTTCTATTTATGTTAATAAAGGCAATGAAAAACAGACCAACTTCACTACGTCCTCCACTTATTTGTCACGGCTTTGAGCCGATCGTGACAAATATGGGGGCTCGTCCGGGATTTAATTATAATTTTTTTTTAAAAAGTCAGGATTCTCTTTGATGAATAGAAATTTCAAAGGAGATTTATCTGAAATAGAAAGCTTTTGTAACATTATAAATGTCTTTACTGTCACTTTTGATTAATTGAATGCGTCCTTGCTGAATAAAAGTTGGCTATTACTTTCTTTAATTTCTTTCAAATGTAGTGTATAATGTTACAAAAGCTTTCTATTTCAGATTAATGCTATTATGGTTTCTGTGTAATGTGATTTTTTTTTTTTTGTCAATGAAAAGCTATGAAAACCTTTTCACAATATTCTAATTTTGAATCTGGTGTTTTCATAAGCTGTAAGCCATTATCATCAAAATTATAACAAATAAAGGCTTGAAATATCTCACTTTGCAAGTAAGGAGTCTATATAATATATTAGTTTTTGTGAAAAAAACAAACTTTTGCACGATATTCTAATTTTTTCGAGTTTCACTTGTATATCTGCAAATTTTTAATTTCTTTAATTTTAATTTGGATTTTTACTGTTTTATTATTTTATGAAATTGGGTTATTATAGGAGCCTATTTGATGATGATTTTACTTTAGAGTTTCTGAGGCTCTCAAGAATGTAGTTCTCAGTTGTAGCCAGTGGTGAATGCTACTATATTTATATAGTCATCGCAATAAATAACAGAAAATATCAAGATATAGTGTTAAGTCCATATCGCTCATCCCTATATGGGGCTCAAACAGTGAAAAACAGCCGTGAAAGGCGGCAGAAATAAGAATATAAGCTGTGTGTGTGTGTGTGTGTGTGTGTGGCTGCTGTAAGTTGTCCTCTTTTGAGCTTTAATAATAGCCTGTAGTCAGGCTCAAGATCTTCTGCTTGCAATCTTAAAAAACCAATTGCACAGAGCCGCTCAGCTGGAGACTGCTTAATTACCCCCCTATAACACACACACACACACACACACACACACACACACACACACACACACTATCCAAACCAGCTGCAAGTTTCCAGCATCAGGTTTCCTCACAGAGTAACAATTAAAACATATTTGATGCACAGCTATGGGGAGCTGAAGGCCCCGTCTCAAATGGCACACGTCATGTACACTTGCAGTCTTGTACACTAACAATGGCCCCTTAACTCCACAAGACTGTAAGGCCGTGTGTCCACCAAAGCGTTTTTCCACGCACCTATCGTATTTTTTCAATTGTTTTCAATGGGAGCGCCGCGTTTTTTACTGGTCGCCGAGAGTTGAAAAGTGTTCAACTTTGGATAAAACGCAGCGCTCATCACTGTCACTTCTTACCCAGCCGTCCAATCACAGTGGAGGAGGGGCGGGACTAAACCACACTGACCAACTGTCACAACACTCTTTCTGTACAACGACATCAACCAGCAGAGCTAACAGAACAAAATGGATGAAAAATTTTTTTTTAGTATGAGACAAATTATATGCGAAATCAGTTACAAGTAAACTGTTCTGTATTATTGTAACGAAGCGTTTTACGGAAAAAACGCTGCGCTGCCAAAACGCTCTCAAGCGCCCACAGCACGGCGTCTTCAGAAGAGCGTCTGACGATTTCAGCGCTTTGGTGGACACACGGCCTAAGGTGTCACGTTTGTCATTTTAGGTTTCAGAAGAGTGCTCATTTGCAGACTTCGAGCTGACAGTCAAAGCGGCTTATGAGCATTATGTCAAAAAGTATGGACTGAAAACGATTACCATTACCAATTTTAACGTTTCCAATTACGATTCTGTAGCTTGGATGGGATGCCTGCCGAACTTAGCCCCGCCCACAACGGTCTGGACTTGATCCGTTGAGAAGCAAGTATGCCCGAACCAAAGCTGTTTGGACCAATCAAGTTGTCAGGGCGGGCTTTATTCGATCAACAGTCTCCTAATCATCCACGTCACCAAAGAGCGCTTGGGTTGAGTTCGTTTACAACAAAGATGGCCGCCGCTGGAGAACTGAGATGTGTAGATTCAGCCATCGCGTCTGTTATAGAAGATGTAGACAGCGCATTCATTTTAAGGGCCTGTTTACACGAGAACGCTTGTGGGTAAAAACGCAAAACTATTTTATCGGATGTGCCTTTCGTTTACACGGCGAAGGAGTTTTTGGGGCTTAAAAACGCAAAAAAGTGAAACCACCCTCTAGAGTGGAAATCTTAAAAACGCTCCACCACTGCGTTCCCAGGTAAACGGTAAAAACGCAAAAAGTCTGCTAGACAGTGAAGGTTGTACGCAGGCGCGCGGAATTAGGTGTTGTTGTGTGGCAGTGCTCCATCGCCACCTAGCCGCCTGGAGTGCACACTACATTGGATTTCACACTCTTTTGCGTCACCACATGCACACGGATTTCCCACCCAAAAAACTCGTCTAAACGCAGAATAAAAAGTGATAATGCAACGCCACTTTTGCGTTTTCTCTTCAGAATCGTTTCCGTTTAAACATAGCCTAAAAGAGGAACAGAGAACTGCGATCAAGGCATTTGGCGATTGGAAAGATGTTTTTGCCATCCTTCCTGCGGGATTCGGTCGATCCAGTTGGGTGCAGAGGCTTTTCTTTCCTGGTTCGGTTGATACGCTCCATAATCACAGCCCAATGGAGCAGATCAGACTCGCACTCTGACTAGAATCTGAGTATGACAACATCAGGCCAATGATTCTGCTTATCGATTGGCTGACTGGAATCTTGTTCCAGGAACATGTTGTACTCGGTGAAATCCTGTTCACCCCAAATATCGTAAAACAGAGAAAGACGACTCCTCTCACGTAGACTCATTGGCCCTGTCCCAAATGGCACACTTCAAATGCACTTTCGGTCTTGTGGCCACGTGTCTGTTAAGTCCGTGAGAGCGTAGGGTGTCCCATTTGTCATTTTAGGTCTCAGAAGGGTGAACACGAGCATCCTATGGGGTAGAGGTCTGCTACCCGACCCGAGCCCGGAGGGTCCCGAAAAACTCTTGGGTTTCGGGTCAGGTTCGGGTAAGTGTTTAATGAATAGCCTCAGGTTCGGGTTCGTGTTTAATGAATAGCCTCAGGTTCGGGTTCGGGTTAATGTTTAATGAATAGCCTCAGGTTCGGGTCGGGTTCGGGTTTGCAACTTAGAAAAACTATATAGGCTAAACATATATATAGTTTGCGTGCCGTGTGCTTGGTTCGGGTCAGGCTCGGGCTTAAAATACAACCGTAATGTTCGGGTTGGATCGGGTTAAATGATTTCGGGTACGGCACGGGCCGGGTTCGGGTTTAAGTTTAAAGCCTGTGCAGACCTCTACTTTGCGGTCGATATGCGCCCTCGATGCGCACTGATGCGAGCTCCACGGCAGACTTCTTCCCGACAGTCAAAGCAACGTCAGGAAAGTGCGGACTCGCAGGAAGGCCGCGAGAGCTTAGGGTGCCTTTTGGGACAGGGCCATGAGAGACCTGATGCATAATACCAAATCTCGGCTGAACTAGAAGGTCAACTGGGCATTTTTTTTTTCCCAATTGTTAATTGTTTTATGAATACTCCATATTCAGACTAATTTGCCATACTTCTTTTTGCATACTATATAGTGAGGAAGTAGACATATTTCTCTCACGGTAAATTAAACCAAGCGACCGGCAAAGTTTGTCACAGTTGTGTCTGGGTAGGACAATCTCAGATTAACGCAACACCAATTAACTTTTCCTCATCTGTCACCCTACAGGTTGGAAGTGGAATTGTCCATTACCGCTGTGGTAAATAATTTAGCCTACCGTCACACAAATGCTTGCTGTTTATCCGGCGCCGGTTTTAGAATGAACGATGTCCACAGAGAAGGTAGAGTATGATGTATTGCGACATCAGAAAAACAAAATAGTGACTATTGTAACGCTTGACGTAAAGCAAGTCAAATTTGTAGTTTTCTCATGTCTCATTAGAACTACAGAAACGCGACCTGATCTGGCAATCTCACATAGCGTGGTTAAAGCAGATATAGGAAGGCATAAGTGCCTTTTACCCTGTTACGACTTGATGAACCACCGAAAAGATTCTGGAAACATTATTTTAAGGTAAAAAAAAACTTACTTAGAGTTGCTTTAACATCAGAGAGAGAGACAGAGAGGGGGGATTCAGCTTTTTTTGCTTCATCATGACATGCCTGGTTAGGACAAGGTGTTATACTCCACTTTAACACAACTTGATGAGAGGCCAAAGATTTCAATCTGAGTCTGAAAAGTACAAGCCATCACTAGCCAGTCAGTCTTCCAATCTCTTTAGCAGAGCGGAGACAAAGAGACTCTTCTCATCGAGTGTTGGGGCTCAGCTGGGACTGGACCATGAAGACGACGGGAAATAGGTCATAGCAGGCGAGCGACTGAGTGTGAAAGAAAGGAGGAAAGAACATTGGGCAAAGGTGTTGGATGTCCAGCGTGGATCATTATTGAGTGCTAAGACCCAGCTGTGGCGAAGGGGAGTTGAGAAACGAGAGAGCATGTGTGTGAGCTGTCTGGAGGTTAAGGACGATATGTCATGGGTTATAGTGTATGTGTGTGTGTGTGTGTGTGTGTGTGTGAGAGAGAGAGAGGGGAGGTTAAGTTGGCAGGGCAGGGGAAACTGGACAGAAGCTGTGACTGGATGAAAGACAGTTGATGAGTGAGATGGGAATCATCTATCATAGAGCTACAATCTCTAATTAGCTTCCATTCTTTATTTCCACAATAC